CTCTCTCTCTCTCGCTCTCTTTCTCCGACCTCTTTCACTTCCTCTTTCATTACCGGTCTTAGTTGATGTTTCATAGCTTTCTTGGCTTACGTTCAAGTATCAAGGTAAATTTTGTATATTGAACATCTCCTAGTACTTATTAAACACCCTCTTTTCAGCGTGGCAGTACCAACGGTATCGTGTTTCAATAAAGAGATAAAAAGTTGTATGATCCGTTCGTTTACGGATTCGATGTAACCAGGATATTTTTGCCCATTATTTATTCTTAAAGAAAGAAATATTAAGTTGTATTAAAGATTTACTAAATATAAACGGTACAAGTTAAAATCCGAAATTTTTGAAGAAACGTATTTTATATCGCAATATCAATAATACAAGGACAGTGTATTTTATTTTCTCTTATCGAGTTAATTTAAAAAAAAAGTGTATACCCGTGAATGTAATTTTTCAGTGATTGTAACGCGTTGGTTTGCACCGATATCTTTGTGTAAATCGCAAAAAAAAACCGTGCATGTCCGTTGAAATCTAAGCGGAAGATAATTTCGGGGTGGCAGCTCAAATTGACAGGGCGACGCGTTCCCATTCATTCAAATTACGCACCAATTCTGTCGGTGACTTTGGCATTGTTGCTGTAAATTGGTCCACGCCCTAGCCTCCAGTCTCTCGTTTCTGCTAGGCGTACATGCGCTTGCGAAACGAATACATGTGTCCAGTTTTTTTAAAATAATCTTGTGTGAAACCATCATATATATATATACGAAGTATTCCATTAAACGTATTTTCTTTCAACTTTGTATTCTTCGATCAGACTTATATGCTGCAGAATTCACCGCTTTTGATTTGCAAATGATTAAAACTACAGAATTTTTTACATTTAAATTTTCAGAGGAAAAAAAATATATAAAATCCGTTAAACAAATGTATACGATTTCTCAAATAAGATAATACTTGTTATTCTTTGAAAGTGGTAGTCCATTACACGTAAGCGTATTGGAAAACGTGACACGCGTCTTCACCATAGGGGTCGAATAGCGGGATTGCTAACAAGTAGTCTAAAGAGCATAAAAAAAGATGGGATAGCAGTTTTCGACGAGGTCGTTTGGGCATGATAATTAACTATAGTACAGCCTTGCGGCGCGTGTCGTGCAAGTGTTAATTGGATGAAGTAACTGATCGTCTAGAATAGTTATAATATTCCAACTAAGGGTGATAGTGTAAGCTAGAACGCTAATGTATAAATATTTTTAAACTATAACACATATACATAAACTAATTAGGCATTTTGATCGCTTCGTTATTAATCGTAAAGTGTTTACATTCTCGTAAACGTAATCTCTTACACTTAATTGGTGATGAAATCAGCGAAAAATTTGTTACAAAATAACTTTTACGACCCTTTCTCGCATAACGTGAGAAATCATTTTTTAGACTAATGGTCATCCACTTTTTTTCAGGTTTGGTTTCAAAATCGAAGAGCAAAATGGCGCAAAACAGAAAAATGCTGGGGTAGAAGTACCATAATGGCGGAGTACGGTTTATATGGAGCGATGGTCCGACATTCCTTACCGCTTCCAGAAACGATTTTAAGAAGTGCCAAGGAAAACGAATCCGTTGCACCGTGGTTATTAGGTGAGAGAAAATATTTTTGATAAAAATTTTAAAGTAAATTTAATGATAAATGTATAACATGTGTCTTTTTAAACATTCAAGTCTCTCTCTCTTTCTCTCTTATTGTCTCCTCTCTCTCTCTTTCTCTCTCTCTCTCTCCCCCCCCCTCTCTCTCTCTTACTTATAAGACAGAAATCTAATGCAATCTTATTTATAAGATTGCGTTAACAATGATAATTTTATACTATGAAACAAATAGATTATTTAATGTCTAAGAAAATAGATTTATAAAAATGTAAAAAAATAACCTAATTTTCACACGCATAGAGATTTCTATTTTAATATTTTTTTAATTTATCGATTACCTTTGTAGACGCAATTAGACATTAAATAATTCTGAATTGTACTTTTATATTTGATTAAAGCAATTTTATTCTATTTACTATTAAAAACCGGATAATATTCCATCTTTCTGTTCCGATAAGATCATTTACTTAAAACGGCGGGACAAATTCCGAATATTTTTTCTGTTGGTTTTTATCAGCTCAATCATCTAAGACAAGCAGCTTTAATCAAGATTTCGAATATAATCAAGAACTGATTGACTGTGGACCTGTAGGGATGCATCGGAAATCGCTTGAGGCAGCAGAGCATCTCAAATCCGGCGGAGAGGACAGCGGCAATGATCAGAACGGAAGCGGAAGCAGTCCCCATCATAATCATCATCAAGGAGGACCAACCAGTTCGGAGAGTGGACAGGAGAGCCAGGATGGTATGGGACCTTCGTCGTCTACAAGTAAGTCTTAAGTAACACTTACGAATTTCACATATAGAAATTTTGTGTAATACACAAAATACAATGTAATGAAATATAATAAAATATATCCTTACAGAAATGTACATACTGGGAACGAAAGAAAGCACTGAATAATTACTAGAGCTCAGTAATTGAATCGATAATTAAAAGTTACTGTCGCACAGTAATTTTCTAGTAATTATTTCGCTAACATTTCTTTAAGGGTAATAAGAAAAATTGTAAGACTGCCGATACTCTGCAAAAGTATCGCTGGCAACGATGATATATGCCATTGTGTTTTTACAGGTGTCGTGCAGGATACGGAACAGCTCAGAAACGAAAGTATCGCGTGCTTGAGGGCGAAAGCACAGCAGCATCAATTGCAATTGAGCCTGCAACCAACATCGACGCCACCGAGTGGATCGTATCCTCCGGCGCCACAGTCGAGCACGCTACACACTTCTGTTTAATCACCAAGATACAGACTCTTTTTCTGATAGTTCCGTGTCCGATATTTTTGCTGTTGATGCGGAAGCGCGTGTCCTGCCTGGCGGACTGTCGTAGATAAATCGGCAGCACCGATTTCAAAATCAGTGATATTTTTTTAACGAGTATCTCGGCAAGGATTGGTCCTTTCGAAATATATGGATCTTTTTGAGATCACTTCTACGATTAATCTCGCAGCCAAACTGCAGCAATGGCGTCGATTGAATAATTCTTCGCGACAAAGGATCTCGGATTGCTTCGACACAATTCCAACGTTCTACGTTCCTCGCGTCATCAACAAGCGCATTTCTCAATTTTTGCGTCTGCAGTTATTTACAATACATTTAATCGACAAGCTCGAAGATACACACAAGATATACATACATATATATATATATACATATATATATAAAATTACAACGAAGAGTGGTAAACCGACAGATTGAGCGCTTGATTTGCATTATACAACTCTGTATGTGTCTCGCGTGGCAATCAAGCAGGCCTATAGATCGATATAAATTCACACAATCTTCAGCAACGACTTGACGTACAATGATGAAAGCGGTGATCCCATGTTACGTTTCGAGAAAATATGAAATGCCGTTGGAAAATGCCGCGGAATGAACAATGAAATTAATTGTTAAGCTTAATACTCATCAACGAATAATAGCCTAATGATGATCTGTATAACAAACAATAAAGGATTATCGATCAGGGAATCTTGTCGTTGACGAACGCAAGAGCGAACACTCGAAGAAAGATTTTCCAGAAGAGAAAAGTCGATGATGAACGATGCTTAATTAATCAGTCCGGTCGATGAATTTAATGGATCGGCGGATCGAGAGCAAACGGAACTACCTAATTAGAATATAATTGCTTTTAACAGCACGATTGTGTATTTGTATGGATGTGTGCGTTTTGTGTGAGCGTACGCGTGCGTGCGTAAATGCGTGCACTTGCACGCGCGCGTGTGTGTGCGCGCATGTGAGAAGAAAAGAAATAGATTGAGGAGTGATAAGAAAACTTGAAGATTTTTTTTATCTTCAGAACGCTAACCTGCAACGAATGTTGAGCAACGCATAAAAGAAATAAAAGCATAAAAGAAGGAAAGGGAGATTGCGGAATGCGTAGCAAGATTAGAAAAGATACGAACACACATCGAAGAGAAACGAGCTCGAAGACTTCTACTTGTACACACATAAAGAAAAACACCCCTAAGCTTTATAAGTTTAAAATAATCCTGCAACCATTGAAAGTTGATTTGATTGTTAAACTCACGTGTATATGAGATAAAAAGAGATAGTATGGTATGTAGATTGGTACGTTAAACCATGTATGCGTGCGCGTGTGTGCGTGTGTGCGTGTGTGCGTGTGCGTGTGCCTGTGCGTGCGTGCGCGCGCGTGTGTGCGAGGGGAATGTGAACGGAGTGTAAGTCAAAGATTTATTAGCGACGACTTCCTATATCCAAGTACTTAAAGAGAAACGTAACTGTTGTCAAATGTGCAATATATCGATATAAGTTCTAGTTCGGTAAGATATATTATACTTTAGTAATGCCTACGCAAGGCAGCTAGGACGGCGTCGGTGTCTCGTTGGGCGATTGTTATAAACAAATTTTACAATATATGTCCCTCAAAGATTGTATGAAATGAAAGCTGATGGAATATTGTACATCTAATCCTTATGCTTTCCATTTTTGCTGCGAATAAACTTATCCCTGCGTGCACCGTCGTCTCGGGACGTCCGCTTCCTGTACATAAATATATAAATATAAAAAAAATATATATATATACATATGCGTAAATATAAAAAGATAATTAAAATTAAACGTGGTTACGAGACACACTGGGCTGGACGAAATTTTTTTCAGGAATTTGAGTAGTTGAAAAATTTTCAAACCATATTGTAAGTAAGAATGATTAAAAACAAAAGATACTTGCTTTACTTTATAATTAAATTTCTGCAAAGCACATACAATATAAGTTAAAGTACGATAATCTCAATCTATTCTGTTTCTAATTGCAATAATTATTTATTTAAAATGCTTGCTGGAAATTTGATTTGATGTAGAGATCTACATAATTGATTTATTTTAAAATATGCAACACACAAATGACCAATTAAAACATTTATACAACGATTTTTTAATTTTTATAATATGACAATTTTCTAGGAAGCTATTTATTGACTGTTTCATTATTATTAGAGGAGAGTTTCCTATTATGAGACAAACTCTTAATATTAGATAGCGGGGTTTTTGCTAAATTAATAGCATTATCTGTTGGTTTCACCATGAATTTATTGCCTTTAGAGTGAAGCTGTTTAGTGAAAAATTCATTGTTAGATCGTGTGTGTAATCGAAAAAAATTTGTGAAATTAGATATTGAAAACCCGTTATCTCATACTAGGAGCCTATCTCGTAATAAAGGACTCTCCTCTACACTTAAAATGTAAAGTTACATAAAAAATGTTTTTCTGCAAAGATGACTGCATAAATTATTGAACCATAATTTTTCTCGAGCAATGCATTCGTCTGGCTTAGATCTATCAAGTTATACACGTAACGTAACATATAATTTAAAAAACTCGATCTTGGGAAATGAAGTAACCACACATTCTCTAGAAAAAAAAAAACAACTTAAGAGTCGTAATGGAAGTGACACCGCTATTATTGTGAAAACACTTAACGATGGACTTTGGATCTACAGCGACTTCTCTGTATCCGAATGTTCCAACGTATGCATAGTAGTCGGCTAGTATACGTAATAAATAAAATTTCTGAACAAATATGCTTTAATTTTCATCGTCCCACTTATATTTTGCATTCTTACTTCGAAAATCACTGTCGCGTTTTTGTTGTAAACTCTTATTACATAATACAAAAGTGACGTAATAATTGACGTTAAAATATATAAATTTAATAAATCAATGGAAATAATACAGAAAAATTATATTATTATATAATTATAAAGATGCATTTTTCTGAAAACGTAATTCTAATTTTTTAACACAATGTGTGTAAACAATGCAACAAACTTTAAAAGTCACATATAAAGAAATTGATAAAAAGTAAAGTTTTATATTTTGTATTAAAAAAAAATTTTTATCGTAATTTTATTACGTTGGAAGTTTAAATTTTTTATAATCTGTTGAATAAAGTGCATAATATTGGGAATTATTTATGATGCTAAATAAGAAATTTTGATGAAAACAACATTTATAAAAATACATTAATTATTTTGACGACACGTGAAGTTTTTATTTTGTTAGCATCTATCAATTTCAGATTAACTTTGGTGCCTTTTCAAAAGGATTCAAGTTAGATTAGTACTTATTTGATAATTTTATGTTATAACAGTGACAAACCTGAGAGCTTAGCCCAAACGTGGACATTGGCTATAACGTATTTCATTAGTTCATGTCCACGTTTTCAATGTCCACAGAGCGCGTATCGCGTTCGAGGATCACGTAAAATCGAATTGTGACAGCTCTCAGGCTTCTCTCTGTGAACACTGAACATATGGCACCAAGATGGCCGCGACGATAGATTCCCCTCACCCTTTAGAGCCAACACCCCGCGTCCACAAGGGTACTTTACGCTCCGTCCAGTTATTTCCTACATCCATGGTACGTACATACATACATATAATATGTATAAATCGTGAGTTTATCATACATTTACTGACGAAAACTTCTTTACCATATGTAAAAAATCATTGAAGAATTATAACGTTTATCTACATCTGGTAAGTTATACCAGAGAGAAACGTACGA